GGGGCCCCCCCAGGGTTCAGGTTGGGTTAGGCTTACTTCTTGGGGGGACCCTGAAATAGAAAAAGGGGGGGGGGGGGGTGGCGTTTAGCTCTCCTTGTCAACAGAAAGAAATATGATATATACCAATGGGCTCGGGATCTGGGGTGTCAAACGAGTGAAGCCTAGTAGCGTTGCGGCCCTGCAGTACAACAGGTAGATGGCGAACAGGGGGTCGGTCTCAAGCAACTGCAGGACAACCTGGAATGATGTACGGCGGTGGCCGGCCAGTGGAGAGAGGTGGCCAAAGGAACTAGCTGCCCCTTTGCCGCCGACACGCCCCCGCTCCCTCGGATGCAGGACACCGGAGAAATGAAATAAATACTGTTGTTGTCGCTTGTCCGACAAGCCACAAGACATTAATAACATTCTCCTATCTCGTGAGAATTTGTGCAACGTAACGTTATGTACGGAGTGATGCATGCAGCATTTTAAAGCAGGGATCTCCCGGTAGGCGGGATATCCTTGTTGGGGAGATTTTAAAGAGCAAAGGGAAGTTAAAGGGAAGGAGAGTGTCGCGGGTAAAGGATCGAGGTCGAGATGGGGTCCCTCTCGTCGGTGGCCCAGCAGCCAATGGCGACGAGGCTCCGTTTACACACAAAACAGCAAAGGAAACAAAAAAAAAGTTACGCTGGATCAATCAGAGAGCAGCGCGACCACGACACACGGAACAATGTTCTCGAAAACAACAAGAACACAACGCTTTCGGGCGCAAGCCCAACAGCAGCAGCGTGGCCTACGTGCTTGCGATGTGGCAATCGATTTGCACAGCCAGTAGGGGGGGGGGCGCGAAAAAAACCCGAAACGACGATGGTTGTCGGTCGAACTACTACGAGACCCCCCAACAAGGAATGGAAGAGGGCAGCAGCCACACAGGGGGGGGCCGAGCTACGCCAGGCAAGCGCTAGGCCTGTACTCCGTAGGCGATTGTTGCTGCCTGATATTTTCGCTGTCAGTTTTTGTTATCATACTGAAAATAGAGTGGAGAAAAAGTTAGTGTGTCTAAATCGCGAATACAAATACGCCTACGGAGTACAGGCGCAATAGCGTACTTGTCGGGGCGGTGACCTCCGGTGCGGCCACGGCAGCGGCCTCGGGAGATGGCGTGAAAGATGAACCGTCCACGGACCCACCGTCGTCGCTGGGCGAAGGGGTGGCAGCAGCTTCGGGAGATGGTGTAGACCCGGCCACCGATCCATAACCTCCGTTGTCCGGTGGGGTGGGGTCCTCTCCGGCGGCGTCCTGGGGAGGCGGCGTGGGTGCGTCACCGACGGACCCACCGCCGCCACCGCCGCCGCCGCCGCCGCTGGCGATGGGGGCAGGAGTAGGAGGCGCAGCCGTGTCGTCGCTGGCGACACCGCTGGCCACCTGAACCGATCCAGCGCCTACAATATTTCGAATTGACAAAAAGGTCAGATGGGGTGGGGGAATAGTAGAACACTCAATGGCGGCAGGAGTTTGGGAGCAGTCACGACGCTGGCAACACCGCTGGCCGCCTGAACCGACCCAGCGCCTAGTCCGATTTGAGAAACCAAAACCCCCCAAGGGAAGTATTGTAGTGAGTACGCTCAACAAACGTTCCCCCGTTGAAAAGTTCAGAATGGTTGTAACTCCAATCTATGCAAGGAGCGTTCCCATCCTTCAAGTAGTACGTTTTCTGTCCTTGTCCAGGCACACTCAACCAGGGAAATCGTACAGAACACAATGCGCATTGAAATTTCTTTTTCGAACGAGAAACGGAACAACCCTTACCCCCCTTTCTATACGGTGGCGTTTTTCTGCCGATAAAAGAATAGGGAATACATCAGGACGGCTGAATATCGTTGCCCAATTTAGATTCGTGTCCTTCCCTGCCGAAAGGCAACGAGTCGGCCCCTGGTGGAAGCGATGAAGCAAAGGTACGAATTGCGACCACTCCACACATTTCCAACGAAACTCGCTCTCGTCATTACACACACGAAGAGCTGTTCGCTTGCCGTCCGGCAATAGTGGCCTGCGCAGCGGCAGAAGGAGCTGGTTTCGGAAGAGAGCCGCAAGAGAGGCAAGAGAGAGACAAAGCTGACTCGCTAAAGAGAAGAAAAATAAACACATCGCTCCCTCACCCAGGTACAGGGTGCAGTTGACCGTTAAGTCAGTGCCGATGATGTCTTCGTCGTCCCCTGAGATCAGGAGGGCATCGTACGGCTCGTGCAGCGACTCGCTCGCCACGGGCACGTGGTCGCCCGTGTAGCCGATCAGCGCGCCGTCCCCGCAGGCCTCGATCCTGTCGCTGCAGCTGTTGTTAATTGCGGTCGCCGGATCGAGCGAAGAGTTATTAAGCGCAGTGCATGGTTGTTAAACGCGGTTTATCGCGAAGCGTAGTTTATCGTTGATAAGCATACGTTATCGTTGACGTGGCCCAACAGGGAGCAGGTTCCTCGTGAAAACGTTGTTTCGTTTGCCAATGTTGCTAGAGCACCGCGCGCGCCCGCAGGAAAATACATGTTGCGGTCGCCGGATCGACCCATGGCGAAGGAGGTGTTAGACGCAGTTTATCGTTTGTTTGGCCCAACATTGAGCAGGTTCCTCGTGAGGGTTGTGTGTATCGTGATTGCCGCGGATTTGCTAGACTGTACATAGTGCGGGCCCGCCGAAAGCAAATGTGAAAGAGCAAATTTGAAGCAAAGGCCCATATGTTCACGAAATGATAAAAAAAAATAGGTGATCAGCACGGCTATCTCAGGAGTAGCATCATACACTAAACTCAGTACAGCAACTTGTACTCGACGGTGCCGACGAACTAACAAATTGACCTTCGACCCCAATTTCCACCTTCCACCTGCGGGCACGCAGTTGTGATTTGGTGTCGCCGTGATACTGAATTTCTGCCACATGCGTTGTCAATCTCACTACCATGCGTGGTATGTAGGAGGCAGGGCCGTGGCAGCGAGAGCCGGAGAAGATACACTGTTGTGACCGCCAAAGGTTGGGCCTACAGATTTCGACGGTGCCACGCACACCGTTGTTCCATTTTCAAGTGTTGGCGGGAACATGGTAACAGCGTTTTCCCACGAGGGGGGGGGGGCTACGCGGGGTGTGGCAAGCCGGGGCGTGAAAACCTTAGACTGTCACCCTACGTCATCCCCGCGTAGCTCGCGATACGACCAACAAGGCGTGAGTTTACGTTCGTTTGGGAACACCACGCCTGCGCCCATGTTGATCTTGCTAAAAGTCGCCGAACCAACAAGGCGTGGGTAGAAGGAACGTCGGGTGGCTCAGGAGGAGGGCCCTTTCGGTGTGAATCCAGCTTTCATCCTACTTAGCGGCTTCAGGACCGAGGCTAGAAATGTGGACAGCTGCTTCCAAACAGAACATCACACGACAGCAGCAACAATAACAGCGACAACACCACCAACAACCACAACGATAACAACAACAACAACGACAACAACAATAAACAAACAACAAGAGAGACCAAGCCTCACGTGACGCCCGTCGGGCAGCAGCCGCGGTAGCAGTTGAGGGTGAAGGGGAAGAACGACTCGTCGAAGCCACATGACTGGACGTCGGGCGCACACAACACACGCACGCGTGGGTCGAACAACGAACAGCAAGCAAAAGAAAAAACCACCACCAGTACGGAAAACCGCGATCATCATCATTCGGGCTCAATACGGTTGTTCGGCACGAAAGAGGCGGTTGTGCCGGCGGTTCACCCATACCACGATCGTGCGGAGTACGACGACGGAGTATCGCGTTACAACAACGGATGATTCCAAGGGCTACGAACTTCGTTCGTAATAGATGCCCTCGTGTCCATGGCTAGACAAGAATTGCTCGATCTGCGGGGGATGAGATGCTGATGATGGAACGCGCTTGGTTGAGGGTGTGCGATTGGCACATGCGCACCAACTGACACGATGGTGATAAAAAGTCCCTGTTTACATAGGCATTGATGTATGCGTGGTTATGATAACCGAGGACTGACGGTTACATTAGCCGCTTGCGCTACCTAGCTTGTGCACGTGCGAGCCGTGATTTTCAGAGTGGGTTTGGTACATGAAAGCCGCCGAAATTCTGCGTAGTCGCGTCCGGCTAGCCCAGCAACACAAAGCAACGCCCCCGCCGTTCCCGGGAAGCTCGTCTTGCTTGCACTTCAAAACACATTAATCGCGACTCCAAAAGAAGGTACATAGAATCATGGCAGCGATCACGCGCTTTTATTCCATTCATGTTGCGGTATACGGAATACGGTAACGTACCGTGTAGTAGCGGTACGTGAAGGTGTCCTCGTCGATACTGGCCTCGTACCCGGAGCACAAGTCGAGGCAAACCGTGGAGTCCGCCCCATCTGCCCCACACATCTGCCACACACCGCCAAATATTGTCGGCACACAAGTTCCAGCGGTTAGGGGGCTCGTGACGTTCGGCTGCACGACTGGCTGTGATTCGTGTGCACGCATCGTCATCACGCAACAGAGGGCGGGGCAGCATTGGCGCACCCGCCTCCTCCCTTGGAGTGAAACGCTCGCGCAAACTACGAGAAGATGAACCGGTTCGGGTTCTTTAGTGGGTCACTTTTCTGTGGCCGTCAAAAAGAGGAAGCAGTTGCGACGTGTACGGAAGGCATCGCGTGCCGCATAGCCGGAGCGTTGCGCCCCCGCTTCCATCCCGCAGGGCGGGGCGACATACGGGGCTTCTGTTCGTGTTCCAAGGCATCTGGAGAGATGTGTTTTCTAGATAGTTTTTGGTGTTCCGCCCCTGGTTGTCCGGAATATGAAGGATGCCGGTGAGAAAAAACGAAAGAGAGGCCCGCCCCGTTCACTCCAAGAACAGCGGGGAACCGGTGGTTGGTTACGATATTCCACCGAAGACGCTATACATTGGGGGAGAATTTTATTAATTATCTTAATTTTCAGATACGTATGGGGACGAAATATCAGCAGCCGCACGACAACAACACCCACGAACTATGCATACCTTCATCTCGACTCCGCCAGGCCCCAGCTGCCCGTAGATGGGAAAACCGTCCTGAGATGGCGTTGCGCGGGAAGGGAAGGGAAGGGAAGGGATTGGAAGGGAAGGGAAGGGAAGGGAAGGGAGGGTTGGGGGTTGGGTCATGGAGAATGGCAGACGAAGAAGGTAAACGCGTGAACACACACACGCCAGCCAGCTCCCGGTGGTTGGTTCTCATTGCGACCTTTCTCTAGTCAGGCTTGGCGCTTGAAAGGTTTTGCTGTAGCGCCCCCCCGCCTTTCCATTGTCGCCGTTCCTCCCTCTTCCTTCGGAGACTTTCACCCAGCCCTCCCTGTCATCATCAACTTAACTCTCACTAGCGTGCTGACTCCGATCGGCTTGCAGCCTTCATCGGCGAAATGTAGCGTTCGACTCAATGGTCCCACAAGAAAAAAAGACAACCACAGCGAGGTCCCTTGTTTTGTAGCGGTACTGTACCGGACACCGGCACTGTTCAAGGTACGTAGTTACTTGGTAATGCAATGCAGTGGGTGCCCACCAAAAACATCAGCAACACACCGACAACCGGCACAAAAAACAGGGACCTCTACGGTAACGTACGTACGGTAGTACGGGTGACGTCTCCAGCACCATCTCCAGCCCCCTCCGTTTCTTTCGGTTCGGAAAAAAAAGAAGCAAAGAATATAAACGAATCAGACTTACGTATGACCAGCCCAGCAGCGGAGAGTGCTCCCCCGCGACCGCCCCCGCCTGTTCTTGCAGGCACCCCGCCGTGCTGTGGTAGTGGTAGGACCCTGTGGGAGTCGCGTGCCCCCCGCAGGGGTCCAACGTGTCGGCTTCCAGGTAGAAGGCCGTGTCCTCGTACTCTTCGACGGCGTCAAGCGCCCACGCGCTTTTCGGTGTCGTCCATCATCATCATCATCGTTGTTACAAAACAAAACACGACAAGGAGAACGCGCAGCGGCTCTTGGAAGTAAGCGCGGGGGCGAGAGAGGTTATGAGAACACAATAGCTGTATTTGCCCGAACGAACGCGGAGGAAATGAACGGCATGCTGTACCGTGATGATAGGATGGCCACGGAGACTTGAGTTTGTTCCCCTTCACTCCTCTACGACTCGCAGGGCGACATGCTTTGGCGATGTCGAGGCACAAGACTCAGTGTGCTCTCCAAAGGAAGAAATCGCTGCTGCTTCGTCTTCGATGAGGGCAGTAGACTGATCACTTTGCTCAACCCCCAACCAGCTGGCGAATCACACCTACACACGTAAAACACACCTATAAGCAGAGGCACGATGATGCGAGGCGGCGCACAAGTCTCACTGCACACGGGGTGTTGAGTAAGGCTCGCGGTGGCCAGACTGCCTACCTGTACATAGAAACCCCGTTGCGCATTAGCCCGATCGTCCCGGCGGCAGAGCTCAGGTCCGTCGTCCCCCCGTCCTCGAGAAGCATGGGGTAGGCCGGGATCGATTCGTTGATGGCTATAACCTGTTGTTGGAAGGATGCGTCGACAAGTTATGTTGATTTCATCAGACCCGTCGATATTGTCCCCATGTGCCGCGCTAAGTGAAAGGGAAGACGAAGGCAAGCGCCACCAACTGAGGAAGTCATTCTGCGTGAGCCCGTAGCCTTCAGCAGACACGGCGAGGTTCGGCCGTAGGGTGAACCAACAAGATTCCTTTCGGGCGACGGGATAAGAACAAACGGTTCGAAGAGGCTGGGAAATACACACAAACGAAACACAGAAAGAACCAACAACTCAACACCACGACACAACGGCAACGATAACCAGAAACGATACACCAAGACGACACCTGGCTGGTGACAATCCGACACGCAAAAGCAAACCCCGAACAAGGTCCTACACACCTACAAAGCAAGAGAAATCGAAAGAAAGCCCGACAAGAACAATGAAAGCAGAAGACAACACGCGCACAGCTCAAGGTTGCACAGCGCGGCCCGTGGCGGCATGATCAGCGGCCTTCGAAACGTTTTGTGTTCAAAGAAAATACGTGGTTGGGATAACCATGCAGTCGTGGGAGCTTGGTTAGGGATAGAGTCTGCGTGCCCCCTCCCTGTTGGATTTTCTCATGGACATAAATTTCTCGCGAATGCGACCCGGCTTAAAATGATGATGTGATTCTATCCGATATGGCCTCGCTCACCAGTCCGGGGTTGGGGTTGATGGGCCAGTTGACGTGATTCGGGCATCCCGTGTTAGTGCCAGTCCATCGCACCATCGTCAAACCTTCGCCACTGGGAATTAAAAAAAAAAAAAGTTTGCAAACACATTATTACTACTACCAAATATACTACAAAACAACGATCTGGGGTTGCGACGGGAAAGGCAGATTGGGTGGAAGAAGGCATCATGTGGATTCAACGAGCCGGTCCCACGTTGCTCCCTGCCCATGAACTTGACTATCGAGACCTCCCCTGTGCTGGCTGTGCGATTGAAGATGATTTTCTCGGTTTTCTCGGAGAGCAGGTGATAGGAGTGCGGTTGGGGACATGGGGGTGTTGATGAGGATGGAGGAGGCTTCAAACGCCACATTCAGAGGGGGGAGGGATGGCGGCGACAGCGTTGTCGCGGAGGGAGACGGACACAATATTTTAACTTGTAAGCAAAGCCCGCCAGCTACAGATCGTTGAAGCACGCTCGTCTCAGTATTGCGAGGCGCGTACAAATATTTCAAGCAATATTAACCAGATGATCTTCCGACAAAGCTGGGACCTGCGCAACAAAACGAGTGATTTTTCGCGCATGATCAATAAAAAACGAACTCCACATTATCAGTAGCCCCAAATGCGCCCCGGCAAAACAAAATCCATCCGATCCACTTCTTCTCACGCTAGGAACTCGTCGTAGTGGGCGTCGCTCCCGTTGTAAGCACACTCCACGGATGCATCAGAACCCTCATCCTCCCCAGGAACTTCGTCTCCGCCAGGCCCGTCACCCCCCCCGCCGCCATCGCCGCTGCCGCCCCCTCCGGGCTGAGCGCGCGAGCCTTGTGGCAATCGTGTCAGCAGCAGCAGCAGGAACAGCAGCGCCGTTCTGGCGACACCGACCCCGCCAGCAGTGGTGGTAGAGACCCGTGCCATCGTTCACAGTCTCGCGTAGTGGTTGACTTCGAGCGGGGTCCTGTTGGAATCGAAGCATCAGTGTTCGGGAAATAGAGGCAGAGAGAGAGAGAGAGGAGCGAGATTTGCAGGGAGGGGGTGGAGGAAAGCAAATCATGATTTCGTGGTCAGGGTGAACGTCTAGGCAACAAGGGGACAAGTCTTGGGGGCTGTTATACAGATCGAATATCAGGGTTCGGGAAGAGAGAGAGAGAGAGAGAGAGAGAGAGAGAGAGAGAGGGAGATTATGGGGTGGGTGGATTGGGGCAGGGGAAAGAAAATGATGATTTCGTTATCAGGATGCACGTCTTGATAACAATGGGACGGGTCTTGGGGGGCCCGATGGGAACAGCAAGGATAAGCCGCCGTGTCACTGCGTACGGCCTTCAGCGTTGGTTGCCTGCAGCAGCACCACGGGCAGGATTGTGCTTCAGATGCGTGTGTACTTGTCTATTTTTTGCTAGCTTTGAAAGCTCTATTCGGCTAAAAAAAGGAGTGTACCAGGTAGGTCTCACGGTGGGTCTTAAAAGGAAGATCGAAACTCGAAACGCAGATGCTAGTAGTTGCCTTTTTACCTTTCTTTGCTCTTTTCAAATCTTACTACATACAGTATCAATTTAAAAATCCCTCTTGTTGGCTGGAAAATATTGCTCCGCAGGTAGGTCCGCTTTTCCGACTAAAGGTACTGCAGATTACCATCTGGCTACAGTAGGCATATGGGATTCGAAAAAAGGGGGAAGTTTTCACAAATCAAACTCAAACTTGGGTGACCGGTACCAAACTTGGGTGAACCGGTACCAAACTTGGCGAGTATGGGTCTCCTCGTACCTTCACGTATCCCCGCCAGACCCATAACAGGAAGCGCTCCCAAGAACTTGTCATTAGGAATTCCGTTGCTCAACATTTTTGTGTCAACACCAAGACCTTTGAGCAGAATGTGGGACCTGGCTTGGCTCCCGTATGGAAAGTGTCCCCGAAGGAATGGCCAAGTCACGAAGGATTCGGTATAACCGTGAATCCGTGGTTTGTGGAAGCGTTCCGGAAATTTCGTGAAAGAGCGGCGAGAGACAAAAAAGGGTACACGGGGGTATAGCTATGTACAGGGTACAGAGAAGAGAGAGAGGTTGGCAGGAGCTTTTGGGATCCTTGGGAAGCCGAGGACCTCGAAGGGAAAAACGTTGCCTCGCCCGCAAAGGCAGTGCAGCAAAGCAGCAGCGAGAGAAAAGAGTTTTCGTTTGGGACTTGATCGAATTTTCCCACCCACCCACCCTGTCGCTCAAGAGCGGAGGGATCACTGGGAAGAGAAAAATTTGTCTAGTACCAAATTTGTTCTCCAATTTGCGTTGACTTTTGTGTTTTCTTGTCAAGAGATACGACCTGGGCATAGACGTCGGGTTGGCCCGATAAGTGATACCTAGTGAGTCCGAGAGGACGTCAATGGTTCGGCTCATAGGTTGGATTTTGGTTTTGATATTTCTTGGTTCACCTAGCCCATATTAAACGATATTTTGCGAGGAAAACACCGCCGGCGCCCGACTTTGATAAACTCGCTGAGTTCTTTTAGGGCGACAGATTCCGTTATCCGCTATTGATCACCCCGATGAGGCCCAACCAAGAATTGAGTCTTATGTTGTAGACAAAGTGGTGAGCCACAAAAGTGGTCGGGGTCCGAGGAGTCCTTTTAATTACCGATGCCGTTTGCGTCTACGAGGGTATGGCCCGGAGTCAGACCTCGAATACCGCGCAGATGAGGTACCACAATGTCAAGAAATGATAGCCGCATACCGAATCCGTTGTGGTTTGGATATCGCGCTCCCTAAAACAACTTCGGTTCGCACCCTCAATAAGCAGGGGGACGAAGCATCACCCTGCCGAACTAGGAAGCGAAGACGTACCGAAGCAAGGAATCGAGCAACAATGCCAGATATAGAGCGCTCAAACCTTTATCTGATGTTGTTCTGCGGCTCAACTTTGTTTCATTTTTGTGTTAAGTTTTATTTTTAACGACATGGGGACGAGTTAAAACTATCTTTTTCCATGTCCTTGTGACATGGAGATAGTAATGAAACGTTAACACTATCTTTTTTCCATACCCTTGTGACATGGAGATAGTAATGAAACGTTAACACTATATTTTTCCATATCCTTGTGACATGGAGATAGTAATGACACGTTAACACTATCTTTTTCCATGTCCTTGTGACATGGAGATAGTAATGAAACGTTAACACTATATTTTTCCATATCCTTGTGACATGGAGATAGTGACGGTGAAAGGGGTTTTTGTACATTTTTTGGTACACCCTATTTTATTTTTTTTTCAGTGTTCTTGGGAAAACACTGGCGAGGAGAGAGTCTTATGACTTATTGTTGCTGTCAGCTTTGTTCAAGAAACCAACGGAAACCACGCGACGTGTGGATACGTTTTACGGTTTCAACAAGCGAACGACAGATCGATTTCACCGGCCCCCATCTACGTTGTGTCCACTCCTTGGTTCTCGGTTATATCTTGAGTGAGTTTTCAACGAAGATCCATTCAAGTAAAGAGACGGAATCAAGATATTAACACGATTGGCCACGCGACCAATTTTCCGTGATTGTTTGTCATTTTGCGACATTTTTTTTTTTTTTGCACCATCATCCAGCAAGCGCCTGGTCCACGCGTGCGATGACGAACAGTGCATGAGTAAAATGAGTTACCAGTTTCCGTGACACATCGGTAAACTGTTTTTTTGTAGCCAAAAGTTTTTTTTTTTGTTTTTTTCCCAGGCATGGTATATTAAGCTATCAGTTTCAAACCGTTCTGTAGCTGAAACCATTGTACTCAACTGCGTGAACACAATCTGGGTATGGCCACCCTAGAATATATATATCTGAACGGAAGAAATTCTCTTCTGTCAGAATCATGCAGGAGATAAAGCATCTTTTATTTTTAGTTTGATTTCTGTAACCCTACTTTTGCTATGGACCACATCTTCAACTGAGCTTGACGAACTCGTTTTTTCTCAACACGGAAAATCTGACTTCAGACATGGTTGAAGATGTTGCAACACAGAAGGACAAAACTTCCAACAACACCTGTTTCCATGTATATCGTCCAAGGCCTCTAGAAACGCCAAAATACATCCTTAGCAAAGATGAATTTGTGGCGCATAAAGGGGGGGGTGATGTGGATGACAGGTGTAGAAGTGCTGTAACTATTGTTGTTGCACATACAAAAGTAGGACCAAGATACGATCCGAACGGAGGATCTTACTGGTGGTTGATCAGCAAGAGACCCGACTGTGGATGCGTCCCTCTTGGCGCCACCTGTGGAGCTTGGGAATCCGAGACCCTCGGGCTTGGTCTCCCTCGCCCCTTCGGCAGCGCACTCTCTCTTGTCTCTCTCTTCTGAGACCCTCTCCTCTCTAAATCTCGACGAAGAGAACTGCCAGCCCATAGTAGTGGGAAAAGACTACTGCGACCTGGGCCTCCCCCCCAACGAGGGAAGCCTGTGTCCTCATTTCGGCGTTTCTGATTTCTTGTCGCTTTTTCTAAGAATTTCTTGAGCAAATCTCAAAAGCAAATATTTCCAGTGGTGTAGGCAACGTACAGTGTTACACCGAGGGGATCCACCCGCAGCTTGGGGGACTGTGTAGAGCAAGAGGCCCAGGAGAGGCATACAGGCATTCACACAGCAGGGTATAAACGGCGTACCACCTCACACAAGCATGATAGACCAAGCTTTCCAACGCACGTTTCACGCAGCGGAGTACAGCAGTGGCGACGACGGTGCGGCCAATAGGCCTGTTATGTAGTGCTTTGTTCCCAAAGTGTCCCCATTTGGGCTTCCAGCACTAATCCCCGCACCAATACCAACAGAATGTTGCGGCCATTGATAGCCCCCAAGGCAAACTAAGAACCCCAGCTCAGCAGCATCAGCCAAAGCAGGCACTCTCCCTGCCGCAATCCAAACCCCATGCACTGTCGCACACCGCGGACTAGAGAGCAGGAGAGGGAGCGAAGACAAAAAGTAACAACCGGGTGACCGCGGAATCGTTGTCGCACATGACTGGGGCAGAAAAAAATGCGTTTGGTGGGCATGTTGGTGGGTGGGACATGCTCCCGTGTGTTGTCGAACCTCGCATGCGCAGGAGGCAGGAGGACCAAAATTCATGGCTGTCGGTCCGATGACGCTCAATTCGGAATCGTACATGATGAGTACAATACAGGCAAGATATATCGCGTTTGGTTCGTGCGTATCAAGCGGGTTCGCTCTCCATGTGGTACGGTCACGGCCACAACAGCACCCGGGTGCCCTAATTGCGGGCCAGGGAATTGGCAACGGTAGTTTCGTACCCTTCGGAGGTTCGTACGGCACACGAGAAAAACAAGAACTTTCACACCGGCCACGGTAACGCACCGACCGGGGTGTATAACACCGCATTATCCCGCTTTGGGCGTAAAGCTGTGCCATCGTAAGCGGCTCTGGGCCGCTCATTGAGCTGCACTTCGTATTTGCAGTTGGGACTACAGTGGCATTCCTGTCAATGCGGCGAAGCAATCATCTGTGGATTTGTGGGATGGCCGGGGTGCACGCCGAGGCAAAAGCTCTTGGCGTTATCATTGTATGCGGTGCTTACGGTCCTCGGTACGTTGTTGTACACTTCAGCAACCAGCCATGCACATACAAGACGACTTCCTGCAACGTATTGAGCCTTTGACCCACGCCATCATCACCAACCTCGCACCCGTCCCCATCGCTGGTCACTACTCGCCACCTGTCAACCAGGCTGCCTGCTTGCCAGCAACCCGCGACACTGATCTGCTGTGTGCAGCATAGTCCATACAGTCACTCATGGATATCCCCGACAGCAGCAGCAGCACCTACCTGAGTGCCGGCAGCGGGCAACTTACCTATACGGAAACGCCGCATCAGGTTGGTTCGCAGCACGAAATATGAGGAATTTCCCGTTTTCTTGTAGATAAGTTGAACTTGTGCG